CGACGACTTCCAGCCCATGCCGGACCCGTACGGCCTGGACAACAGCAAGCCCGTCTACGAGGGCCAGAGTCAGAGCAGCCAGTCCAGCCAGTACCAGAAGAAGCTGGTCCCCTTGCTGCCCTTCAGCAGACTGCCCACTGGCATCACCGGACTGCTCAACATCACCTGGGGTAACGAGATCCTCAACAAGAACGTCAAACTCCAGGTAGGGACATTCTAAAATCATTAAATGTAGATCTTTTTACGCCCCCTTGCACTAAATTTACACTTCCACCGACATCTAACCAAATACAAAGTAAAGTAAAGACACTACTTAGCTCAAATTTCCTAAAAGTTTTAAACGGTCGTGGCCTTAGAAAAGATGGAATAGCATCAAGAAACTAGTCCAGAATAGGGAAAGGTGGAAAGTGTTTGTTCGTAGCCTTTACTCTGATCCATGATGAGAAAGGTAATGATGATGATAATGGCCTTAGACACTTCACTTTTACTTTTTTTTTTCATCCTCTGTTTTGCCGTTAAGCTTCGAGGGAAGATACAGTTTTCAATGGTAGGCCTTAGATTTAGTTGTTAAATAAATGACTCACTAGATTTAAATTTTTATTTTTTGTTGTTGTTGTTTTGGGGGTTTTATTTGGGGGGGGGGTTGGTTTGTTTGTTGTTTATTTTTTAAATTTTCGTTTCATTTTCTTAATTTCTTTTCCCCTCCATGTCCAGATTTTGGCTACCCGATCTGTGGAGCAGATCTTCTTCCTCTACAAACAGCTGGACGGGCTGATCAGGAGTCAGGACCTGGTCCGTGCCGTCAACGACAAGCTGGGAGAGGAGGTGTGGGAGGCCGACTCCGTGAAGGATGAGCTCAACGTCTACAACTACATCCACCTCATCCTCCTGTTCCAGCCCGTACGTCCATTTCTTTCAGACTTATCAATTACACGTACCTAACATATTTTCACCTCATCCTCATGTTCGAACTAGTAGTACACCTATGTCTTTTAGACGTATTATTTTATCTAAGTGATGGAGCCGTACGCCCATAATTTCTTCCAGACTTATTACTGCATCTTAGTGTTTGAGCGCCGCATCCGTGTATTAATAAAGTATTTATCACTTACAATGTTCATGTATTCATAGACTTGACCACCATAACTGAGCCCATTCATCCACGCCTTGTTGCTGTTGTCCATGTTTTTCAGACTAATCAATAAATGTACTCACCTCATCTTTGTGTTCCACCCCACGTTTATGTATTTCACTACAGACTTATCAATCCATCTTTATGTTCAAGTCCGTACGTTTGTGTCCGTTCTTTTAAGTCTTCCTAACTGGATCACAAATAGTGTCCATAGTGGCGTAAAAACACCTACTGCACATAACAATAAATCAATAAAATATGTGTCCCTCAGGAGCAACTTCCCCGCTACATCAGAGAGTCTGCCATCAGCGCCCAAGAGTACCTCAAGTACTCCCTGTGGCAGTACTACAGCAGACAGGACGCTCTTTCCTTCATCGACCAGAAACAGATCCAGTCTATCATCGAGATATCCAACTTCAACCAGAAGGTAAGCTTTGTTTCTTCGTTGGTTTGTCTGTTTGTTTGTCTGTTATTATGTTCGTAAAGGCGAACAGAAAATCGTAGCCGTAAACCCTTTGATGAATATATTAGCATCAACAATAATAAAATTATTATTATTATTATTATTATTATTATTATTATTATTATTATTATTATTATTATTATTATTATTATTATTATTGTTGTTGTTATTATTATTATTCCTATAAAACAGCATTCACAATTGTTTAACGCATGCATCCAAGCACATCAGAAAACTCTACGCGCTTGACAATCTACAAATGTTTATTACCCGCACAGCTGACACTAGAATACTCAAGAACATTCTCGGCTTCCCGAGAAGCATACAGTACAAGCAGCCGATTAATCCCTCAAACAATAACAAACTGACGAGATCTGTTACTGTCTATAGCCGGGTACCCATTCCCATATGGCTAAAGTGAGGACAATTCGCGTCAACAGCCTTTCCTAAACATACAGCGTCGGACTCGTGACGGGATTTTAACCCACGACCTTATGGTTGCAAGTCCGAGAATATTAACCACAAGGCCATCGGCCCCTTCTAACTCAAACCTATGACGTCGTCATTTTGCTACCGTAAAATTACATCTGCTCAGTACTTAGTTTTGAGAAGTTTTGCTTTTTAAAAATTTAAATTTCACAACATGTCAAGCTTTTTCGAAAGCAATTCTTTGAAGATATTGATAACGACTCTGAATTATCTTATGATTTTGATCGAGTAGATAGAGCATTTAATAATATATTTTTTACCTCATGGTTTATGTAACGCAAAGCGGCAAAAATGTCAGATAGAACTTTGTAATTCTAAGGTATCGCTTTCTTGTGATGGCAATCTCAATGCCGTTATTCTCCCATCCCCCCACCCCCACTTCCTTTCCCTCTCCCCAGTACGACATGACCCTGATGACGAGCCAGGAAAGCAACAACTTCGTGAACATCCCCCTGAGCCCAGTGGTCCAGGCGGTCACCCCCACCCAAAACTCGCGCCCCATGATCAGACAGGCTATCAACTACGCCACCGGGAATTTCGCCCCTGGTGAGAACATGCTGTTGTCGTCGTTGTTGTTGTTGCTGCTGTTGTTGCTGTTGTCACCCTTGTTGTTTCTACTGTTGTTGTTGATGTTGTTTTTGCTGCTGCTGTTGTTGCATATCTTATCTTATCTTATCTTATCTTATCTTATCTTATCTTATCTTATCTTATCTTATCTTATCTCATCTTATCTCATCTTATCTTATCTTATCTCCCACCCCCTCCTCCTCCCCTCAGCCTATGATCAACAAGGACAAAGTAAGCACGTTCGACACACTGATCTCATCTTATCTTATCGTATTATATCTTATCTTATCTTATCTTTTCTCATCATATCCCCCCCCCCCTCCAAAATCACACCAGCAATATGTATGATCAACAAGGACAAAGTGAGCACGCTCGACAAAGTGATCTTATCGCATCTTATCTTATCTTATCTAATGTAATCTTATCTTCTTTTATCTTGTCTTATCTCATCTTATCCCATCTTATCTTATCTTATCATATCTCCCTCCCCTCCGCAATTACACCAGCCGTGTGTATGATCAATAAGGACAAAGTGATCTCATCTTATCCCATTTTATCTTATCTAATCTTATTATATCTTATATGATCGTATCCCACCCCACCAGCCGTATGTATGATCAACAAGGACAAAGTGGTCTCATCTTATCTTATCTTATCCCATCTTATCTTATCTTATCTTATCGTACCACCAGCCGTGTGTATGATCAACAAGGACAAAGTGAGCACCTTCGACACCGTGAGCTACCAGCTGCCCCAGTCCATCAAACAGTGCAAGAAACTGCTGGCCATGGACTGCAGCCCTGAGAGAAGCTTCGCTATGACCATGATCAAGTCCAACGCCAGCTACGAGGGACAGGTGGGTGATGTCGATCTACGTCCTTTCTTTCTTCTTGAATTTCTTTTTTTTTCTTCTTTCTTTCTTTTCATTATTCATTTTCCATGCTTTTGATGAAAAGGAAAAAACCATCTGTCTTGAATAGAACTCGAGATGTTTGTGATTGAAGGAGGTGGGGGTCACCAGGTGCCAGATGTTCTTTCTTTCTTTACGAAAAATTGATGGAAAAAAATTGTTTCATTACAATCTGAAGGTTTATATCCTTTTATATAGACCTGCATAATAAGTCTTTTCATGCCCCCCCCCCCCCAATCGACACAATTTAAATCAATTCAGAGGGAGGCTTCCTTCCCTGCCTGTCTGGGTGAAGATAGACTAAAAGGGGTACAACATCCTAGCGCAGTCCAACAGACGAATGAGTACTTTTTTAGGTTCACATCAATTATTGGTTCTCGGGAGGGAATCTACAAGCTTGCACTGAAATAGTATACTGAAGCTTATATGAAGCAGGGTGGGGAGCTCAGATTGTTCGGGTGAAAGAGATTTGAATGAGGGGAGGGGTAAGGGGGCGCCGGCCATGCCTTTGAGGGGGGAGGGGAGCAAGAAGGGATCGATGTCTGAGTAGCGTGACGTCACTGTTTAGAGCTCTGGTAAGTTCTTTGTTTTGGCAGGGTGGGGAAATCTGGTGCTAGGCAAAGTAATGAATTGAAAGAAACTGTTGGCTGACTTTGTTTTTTTATTCTTTTTTTTAGATTGCTTTAGCTCAACGTCTTTTATGTCCATTTAAGAACACATCTCTGCGGGTATTTTACTGAAAGCGTTGATGCACGGCACGAACGGAAAATATAAATTTGCAGTTTTTGAAGGACACTCGAGCTTTGAAAATTATTAACATCTGAGGGGTCATTTCCTCGTAAATTTTACCTCTGACACTAGGCGAACCCCACCTTCTTTAATCATGAATATCTCGAATTCTTCTCAAGATAGTTGGGCATTGTTTTCTTAAAAAGAAAGCAAGTGATCATATAAATAACTCCCCACACCCCAAAACTGGCTAGCGCCTGATTCCACCGTGTCGTGCTCATTTATACATATAACCCCTTTGGTTAGATCTAGATCTCAACTGACGAGTCCATAGCCTTCCATTAAATAACAATTTCTTTCTGTGGAAATTAATACATTCCTCCTTATGTGATAGGTGTAACTCTCATGAAATTGAAGATGAAATTCACTTTAGTTTCTATTGTCCATATTTTGTCAAGCTTGGAAATTGTTAATTCCTCCCAGCCTGACTCGGCCAAGTGACAGAAATCTGCAATACTTGACCCATGATAAGAGATAAGTGCACAACCTGTACTTTTTCATTTGGGAAACTTTATTTAACAAATGAGTGTTTTATATGATGTGATGTGGGCCAGTGTCTTACTTTAAGCACTGAAGAAACTTACTTCGATGCTTGTTACTCCTCCACCCTCCACTCTTCCCCCTAGCTTCTCTCTATCTCTGTCCCTCTG